CTTGAAAGTCTGGGCTATCTTTTTCTGTCTTCCTTCACTGCCTCTTTTTGCCTTCTATACTCCATTCTTTTCAGCCCTACTAGAGGCTGTGTTCTACAAAAGTGGTGCTCAGTGTCGTCTGTCTACCACTGGGTATATGTAAGATGCCTTCAGATGTCCTCAAGGCAAAAGTATCTATAATTATAGAAGTGTAATATGCAAATCAACCAAACGGCCAAACAGCGGAACAACCGTCTGGATGCCCTTCCGGACGACCTTCTGGACAAAGCCAGGGCTGTGAGGGCCAAGGCAGCCGGGGCTGCAAGGGCACAGGTATCTGGGTCTGCGAAGGCCTACTCTTGCATGAATTTTGTGCATCAGGCCTCTAGTTTTATAATAATACTCAGATATTATTTGTAAAACTTCTTCCACCTTGGCACAAGAAAGCAGTGATACCAAACCATGTCAGAAGTCATTGTATTCTTCATACACTTTCAGCTTTAAAAAAACATGCAAGTTTTACTTAAGAATGCCTTTGGTGAGGTGTTAGCAATCATTAAATTTATCAAATATCAATAATTGAGCACACCTCTTTTTAATAATGTGTGATGAAATGAGAAGTACACATATGGCACTTACCTGCATACCAAAAGATGATGGCTGCGTCAAGAGAGCACTTGTGTGATTTTTTTTTTTTTAGTTTTGACCTGAACTAGCTTCTTTTTAAAATGAAACATTTTTACTTGAAAGAATGATGAACAAACTATGATTCCTTAAAATTGGGCATCTGCTAGTGATTTATCAAACATGAAATGGAGTAAGCCTGTATTTCATGGAAAACAACTGACAAAATTTTTTGAGTTTGGAAGCAATAAATTAGAATTGTAGAAAATTTTTATTTGCTATCATAAGCTTGGTATCTTCTTAATACTCACAATATATTTTTTCTGATGAGATTACTGTTCTCAACATTTGGAAGATCTGCAAAACTCACATGATATTTTCAAATTAGGCATGAGTACGAATCCATTTAAAGTGTAAGATAGATCAGTGGATTATTACATAACAGAATATGGACAATTACTAGTATTTAATATGGCTTCAGATTCTCCATTGCACTAATCTTTAAGAAACTGCCACTTGTCAAATTCTTGTTTCAAGGAAAAATAACCAAAACTATATGAACAGGCTATTAAAATATTCCCTTTTCCAAATACATACCTGTGTGAGGTCTGAGTTTTCTTGATATACTTCAAGCAAAACAACTTAATTGCAACAGATTGAATGTAGAAGCAGATATGATAATCCAACTTGTCTTCTGCTAAGCCTGATATTAGAGACTTGTGAAAATATAAATCAGTGTCACTTTTTCAGTTTTTTGAAAAAATATAGTTATCTTTTATAAAATATTTATATTCACATGTAACAGATTTATTATCCTTAATGAATCAATAAGTAATTTTTTCTGTTTTAATTTTCAATATGATATATATAATAGATATAACTCACAAAGACAAAATCACTTTGAAGTCTTCAATAATTTTTAACACTGTTAAGGATTCCAGAGAACAAAAAAATTGAGAACTGCTTTCCTGGAAAAATTTGTTAAAGATAGTTCCACTTGTGGTGGAATCATACTAACAAAATGACTCGACTCCTTTGTTTTCATCCTTTTGGTCACGTAATATTGATTAGAAAAAAAGGGAACTGTTTGGTTATCTTCATTTATTTGCCCTTGTCAGTAAAATTGTGTGAAATCTTTGAGTCTGGTTATTAGAGTTAATGTCATTTGCTTAGCTTTGAAGGTGTGTGTGTGTGTGTGTGTGTTGGCAATCCTTTAATCTACTGCTTAAAAAATTGATAAAGACTGCCCCTTTAATCAGCTATACTAATAATATAAAATCCCATTTGTTTCCCAAAAACTGCAAACTTGGAGAAAAAAGAAACAGATGAGAAAATATGCATATGGGGTCTGAGCTTCTTGAACTTGATCAATAAGTGTTATATGACATTGAGAATACCATGATAATGTAGTTCGTGTGTGCCTTCTGTACAACCCAGGTTGAATGATATTATTTTTCAATTAAACAGTGAGACTTAGCACTGTTCATTTATAAGAAATTATTTTTATTGCTTCTATTTTATAAAAATCAGTGAGGGCAGACTATATGTATGCTAAATTTAACACTCTTTGCCCAAATGATTACCATTTTTATCAGTGAAAATTATGGACTTTTAAGAATATCCTTTTCAAGATCAAATCCAGTAAAAATAACTCCTTGGAATGAAGCCACCATAATCTTCTGTGGCAAGATACACACTTTCTCAGGGTTCTATGTTGTTTGGGGGAAATAATGTTGGAGTTCAGACTAGATTTTAGACAAGGAAGTAAGAGATGGTAACAGTTTTAATTTGTTAGCTCTTTGAATGCAAATATATTTATGGTGATAATGCAAACATTTTTTTTTAATTTGGTTAAGCTCCTAAACTCTTTTTAGTGCAAAGATAGTTTTATGTTTTAAAAAACCAACCCTTTGTTAGCTTGTGGATTCTCTTGAATAGTCTCCTCCAATGTGGTATGAACTCTTCATTACTGGTTCACTGTGTGACATGTTAAAAATCTGAGAGTAAGCATTTAAAAACTTTCACAGAAATTTAACAGAGTAATTTTATGTGCGGAATCTATTAGTTTAAAAAGGGATTATATTTTGTATGACATTTAAGTTTTCTATATATTTCATAAAAGTATGATCCACAGTGGGTTGGAGGAAAGGGAAAAAATACTGATTTATCTACACAGAAAGTATGAGAAGCATTACCCTGCATGACTATGAAAATGCTAAACCTTAAATGGTCCTTGAGTTTAGGTCTGAAATAAAAGCCTTACTTTCAGGATAGAAGAAAGCAGAAATTCCATGAAGTGAAAAACCTCCCCTCAACCCTGAGTTGGCTGATATATAATCCTATATAATAAAGTGGTAATATGCAAATTAACCCTCACACCCTCACAAGATGGCTGCCTAGGGGGCAGAGCTTTTGATGCTGACTGGCATAGAAACTGACCAATCAGAACCTAATCTGGGTGAACTGTGAAGGCAGTACCTAAGGTGGGGCTGAGGAGGGGTTTTAAGGGCAACAGCTGTTTGGTGTAAGGTGTAAGAAAGTGGTTCGTGTAAGAAAGTTCAATTTTTTAATGACCGGTTTGGCAGTATAGTGCATATGGCCGGCTATCAGTCTAGATATAGGGATTATGTATTTTTTTTTGCCAAGAGCATCTCCTCCTGCTGAAAAGGCTTTTCTCCCCCATCCTATCCTATATAATGTATCTACACTAATAAAAGGGTAATATGCTAATTAGACTGGCTCAATGGGTCATCTTCCAGACATCTGACTTTCTTCCAAACAAAGCCATGGTGGTGGGGGCCAAGGCAGAGGCAGTTAGGGGTGATCAGGCTGGCAGGGAGGAGCATTTAGGGGCAATCAGGCAGGCAGAGGCAGTTAGGAGCAATCAGGCTGGCAGGGGAGGGCAGTTAGGGGTGATCAGGCAGGCAGAGGCAGTTAGGGGCGATCAGGCAGGAAGGCAGAGGGGTTAGGGGTGATCAGGCAGGCAGGCAGAAGGGTTAGGGGCAATCAGGCAGGCAGAGAGGTTAGGGGCGATCAGGCTGGCAGGGATTTAGGGGCAATCAGGCCAGCAGGGGAGGGAAGTTGGGGGTGAGATAAGACTGGCGGAGGGCAGTTAGGGGCGATCAGGCCGGCAGGGGAGAGCAGTTAGGGGCAATCAGGCAGGCAGAGGAAGTTAGGGGTGATCAGACCAGCAGGGGAGGGCAGTTAGGGGCGATCAGGCAGGCAGGCAGAGGCAATTAGGGGCAATCAGGCAGGCAGGCAGGCAGAGGGGTTAGGGGTGATCAGGCAGGCAGAGAGGTTAGGGGCAATCAGGCAGGCAGAGGGGTTAGGGGCAATAAAGCAGGCAGGCAGGTGAGCAGTTAGGAGCCAGCAGTCCCAGATTGTGAGAGAGATGTCCGACTGCTTGTTTAGGCCTGATCCCACAGTTGGCAGTCAGACATCCCTTAAGGGGTCCCCGATTGGAGAGGGTGCAGGCTCGGCTTAGGGGACACACCCTCCCTCCCCGTGCATGAATTTTTTGCACCAGGCCACTAGTTACAAATAAAAGATCTGCCATAAAAGGTTTTGAGCTGTACCTTGGAAAATAGGCAAGACAAAAATTACTCAACATCTCTCCCATCTGCAATTTTATGTCAACAAATTAGTTACTTGATCACATTTTCAATTTAAGCAACACTTAAATAGAACATGCTAGAGTTGGAGATGGCATGTTGAGGCAGTAAGCAGGTTTTGCTAATTATTTTTTAAAGCTGCATTTTACTAATAACACTTATAAAACTGAAATCTATTTACATTTATCTTTATAACTGGCTTTTCAAAATTTAGCTTTTAATGAGTCATAATGTTAGTTTACAAATATGATATATTATTTAAGCTTGATTGGCAACTTTAAAGAGTTTAACTTTCATTTGTTTATTGAGGTAATTTGCCATCATGATCCTTTTACCGGGCACACAGATAAGAATTGCACCTGATTTCTTATTAGAAATTAAAATTCCTGGTAACTTCTAAAATGGATCAATAAGGAAGTAGAAATGAAGGTATCAAATTAATAGTCATCACATAGGTTGCTCTTTATTAAGGTAACAGAAAGGATCTTGGGTCTTAAAAGGAGCTCCATTAGCTCAAATTATTTTGATATTTTTGCTATCTTTTACATAAAAACTTCTCAAAGTCCATAACCATATCATATATTCTTTAAATTTTCTTTTCACAGTAGTGTGTATGAGAGCGTGATTTACTAAATGAATGAAAGTGAGAAAGTATTAAGTAAGAGCATATAATTTATAGGAATGTTACCTTTATGAAATAATAAATGCAAGGGCATATGAGTGTGCAAATGTGTATGTATAGCAAAAATTGCTTGAAAGTTAATTTTTTTTTTATTCCCCTATTAGGTTTTTCTTGTTAGAAAGAAGACGGGCCCTGATGCTGGGCAACTCTATGCAATGAAGGTGTTAAAAAAAGCTTCTTTGAAAGGTAGAAAATTAGAAAGCTTATTTAAAAAGAATTTGGTAAAGCTCATTTTAAGAGATATGCTGTGTATTGCTTGTATAAGTTGAGTAGATTTAGTTTTCTTTTTTATTATTTTAATTAAACTTATTGGAGTGGCATTGGTTAATAAAATTTTATAGGTTTCAAGTATACATTTCTATCATACATCATCTTCATATTGCATTGTGTGCCCACCACCCAAAATCAGATTTTCTTCAGTTACCATGTATTTGACCCCATTTCCCTTCCATTTTCTTTTACTACTCCCTTACCCCCCTTCCCTCTGATAGTTAACATACTGTTGTCTATGTCTATGCGTTTTTGTTTCTTTGTTTTTCTCATTTGTTAATGTGATAATTTCAGTTTTCCATCCCACCTATGATTGAAATCATATGGTTCTTGACTTTTTTGTCTTAGTTTTTTTTAATTTAGTTGTAATTTATATTTCTAGGGTTGATATTTGTATATATCTTAATTTAGTGAGAGTATACCATGATAAAAATCTAATGGCATAAAAAGTAACACATTTAATAAAAAGAACTTATTTTTTAAACTATATTCTTTAATTTTTTTCTGTTCCATCGGTGTTGCTATTATATATTGAGAAAGCACAACTGCCTGCATACATTTACATACACCATCTTCTAGGCTCTGATCAGAAAGCACCATGCTCAGTTTTAATCAATAAACTCATTTGAAAAATTAAGAACTAATACATAAAAATGTATATTAACCAAATACCTGTTTATGTCACTTTAACCCACCTTGAGATGTAAACTGAATTTATTTGCTTTCTGAGTATATGGTAATTACTGTTTAGGCATATATAGACTTCAAATTTAGGAACTTATAAAGTTATGTTTTATATTTTTACATTTTTGTTTGATGGAATTTCTATGGAAATTATATACAATAGTAATATATTCTAACTATCTGTAATTTTTAGTTCGAGACAGAGTTCGCACAAAGATGGAGAGGGATATACTGGTGGAAGTAAATCATCCATTTATTGTCAAGTTGCATTATGGTATGTAATCTGTAGAAAGCCCTAGATGTAATTATTTTAAGTTGTATGCATTATTACATAAAGGAGTTAGATATCTTACATGAATGCTCTCTTCTGTGTTTCGGTATTCTCTGATGCTCTTCCTATGAAATTGAAGTGCATGTAGACAAAAATTTACTATTTGGTTTATACACAGTGTAATATTTCTCTAGTTATCATCCAAAATTCCCTACAGACAATGCTTTTAGCCTCAGCCTAGCAACTGGGGCTGTTCTATTAAATTGCTGCCAGGTTATTACATCTAGTTACCTCCAATTTCTAGAACATATTCTCTACCGTTGTTGAAACCAATTTCTACTTCCTACAGATTTTTTTGCAATAGCAATTAAAGTTTGTCTTCCATTAGTTGAGTCCTCTTAACAAAGTGATTTCAGTTAACCATTTTGTGTATTACTATTTTAACATTATTGCTTCCTGAGCTTCTATTCCTTTAATTGATTTTGTTCCTCACCATGTTATCTCCCCTCCCAACCCCAACTCAATAAAGCAATACACTGTCACACTGGGTTTATATCAATCTTATACCCTAGAGGGGGAAAAGGAATGGACCCTAGACTTAATTTTCTTTTAAGGTCAAGGGAGTTTGGCTTTTTTAAAAAATGGCATTGGCTCTTTTAGAAGATAGTGAACAAAATAAATTTCAAGTGTTGATTAGCAAGAAAAACACATACATTAATATTAGAATATACTGGCAGAACTATATGGGAACTGTATGCCATTCTGTACTCTTCAGTAAATAAGATTAACTTTTCATAAGTACCGTGTCTTTACTAACTTGCTAAGTAGTAATATAAAAAAATTTTATCACTAACTATATTAGCAAGGAGATTTCAGATAAAGGTTGTGCTGGATTCAGTAAGTCAAATCAGATCACTCACCTTATTTTCCATTTTAGTAACCATTTCCACTAAATTCCATCAATAATACACCATAAACTTTAGTTCAACCGGCATCAATGTCTTTGTCATCTTGTGACTTGAAGTTCTGTGCCTTTATGATGCGTGTGCTGGATGTTCTGACTTTGTGTTCCTCTTATTGGTGGTGTTTCTTTCACCATGGTTTCCGAGGATCGAGTGAATGACCAGACACACACAGTGAAGCAGAATGCTATCCATTAAACAACATGCAGAATTCTAAAATGGTCAGTGGGAAATTACTAGAAATACAGCTTTCAAGAGTTGCATTTTTAGCTGTATTTGCAAATACTGTGATATTTAAGCAGCCTAGAAAACAGCAAAGTTGACTAAATTTTAGATTTTTGTCCTCAAAAATATTTAATTTTTGTGTGTGGCTTGATGCAGTGTTATTTTCATTCCTTACATATTTATAAACGAAACACTTTTTTCCTAGTGTTTCTAAATATAAAATCTACTTGATTTGAAATCAAGTGGTTGGAACACTTTTGAATTTTATTTTAATCATGTTCTTGAATAAAATTTTCATTGAAGAAGCTTTCAATTAATAGACCAGTTTGATTCTGTAATTAGCACACAGTACCTAATGTTTGGCATTGTTTTGAGGACCAAAGCTCAAAGTGGATTTTGTTCTTGAACAGTATTCCAGTGTATTTGATGACATGTGTTGGCTTGAGGGCTAATCTTTTTTCTAATAGATTTGAAATTTCTATTGTTAAAATACTGCACAAATTTGAATGAAAAAAAACCTAGAAAAATGAAAACTGTAGTAATTTAAATTAATCCTAGTATGTTGTGATAGAGGGACAGTTTTGGTGCCATAATTTCTCTCTCCATGGTAGTGTTGGAATTCAATCAGTTGAAATGTATTTCTGTACCACAATTTAAGCTTCAATAAAGGTTTGATTCATTGATTATCTAATGACATAAAAAAGGATTTCCTTTCAGATAATAATATAACAAGAAGTAAATACTTCAAACTAATTTAATATATTCAGCTAAATGAAAAGTATTTATCTGAAGTAAGAATCAATAGCTTCTAGTTGTATTTCTTGTATTTGTTGATTAACTTGTCTAAGTAAACAAGATAGTGTCTTCTGCTTATTTGTCTGGCAATATTTCTATATCCTACTAGGCTTTACTTCCTGTGACATTAGGCTATAAAATTCTGTGATAATTTATTCAAAACATTATAGTGTTTGTGCTCCAGTACATGTTCACAATGAGCATATTTATCTTATTTCCTGGTTCTATTTAAGATAGTAATGTAATTTTGTTAGTGTATTTGAGTTATTCTTTCTTATATTTAGGGGGAGAAGAATAGCAGTGAGAAGTAGTAGATGTTATAGAAAGAACATGAATTTTAAATCAGACAGTTCTGAGATTGAATCATGGCTCCATTGCTAATTTAATGTATGCATGATATTGTTGAGTTTAGCTTCCCTGGGAAATTCAAAGGTATATACATTATTAAATCCCCAATATAGACTACTATGTCCATTTTCAATTTTTGAAATTTAAAAAAGTATCAGATATTTATTTTATTCTTAGGTAATGTTGACAAATACTATATTAAAATATATACCCAACTATATCTATAAATAATGTTCAAGAAATTATTCTTTCACTCCTTGTTACCCCAATGGAATGAAAATGGTAGTATCTAAAGATTTCCTTTAATCTCCTGGATGTCATTAGTTTAATCAGTAAATACCAGTTGTGTACAAAACACTGTATTAGATGTAGTGAGCTCTAAAGGTGAAACAATTTCTGCTTTCAAGAAATTTATAATCTATAAAGAATACAGACATCATTAAATGAAAATAAATTAATTACACAACTCAAATGGAGTAACTACCATAAGAGAGACATAAATAAAGTATCATGCAATCTCAAAAGTAGTAGCAAGTAAAGCTGATGGGAAAGTGTAAGGGTGCTGTAGGAAATGAGAAAAGGGGGAAATCCTTAATAGAGGATAGAGGTGGCATTTTGGTTGAGCTTGAAAGAATTAGTAGATTTTCAGTAGGTGGGGATGCAGAGTTCAGACAATAGTAGTATAACATGATGTTCAAAAATCAGGAAAATGAGGGTAGTAGAAGTTTCTGTGTAAAGCCACATGCAAGATTGATTATGTTCTTGGAAGGGTTTTATAGTTATTTCAACACCAGATTTAATTTTGACATAATGTGATTCAATAATGGACCATATGAGTAAATGCTTAATTGGTATATAGTGTTCAGTGATAAAATTCTAAACTTACATATTAATTTAAAAGTATACTAAGCTTTTTAAGCCTTTAATATTGCTATATTACTATATTCTATTTTTAAATTAGCCTTTCAGACTGAAGGGAAGCTGTATTTAATACTGGATTTTCTCAGAGGAGGAGATGTCTTCACAAGATTATCCAAAGAGGTATCTGTTTGTAAATCTTTACATGTTTTCTTGAAACAAAACTAAGAAAAATAATTTTTGTTTCTTTTTTCTATAGAAATATTAAATGATATTTGTTTCATTGCATAGCATTTAGTGAATATGCCAATTAATCGCATTTTCTATCTGCTTATGTCATTTAGATTATCTCAATGTGCTACTTATTATTCTCTTAGGCACAAGATCAATTTAAATAACTGGATGAAGCATATAAGGCCACACCTAGGTCTTTGGCTACAGAAGCTACCAAAGTGCCTCTGGGAGTAGTATTTAATTTATTTATGTTTAAAACAGTTTTATGGAGGTGTAAATTACATACAATAAACTGCATATATTAAAGCACACACTTTCATAAATTTTGACATTTGTATATACCCCTGAAACCATCATCACAATCAAAATAATTAGCTTTTCTATCACCCCAACAGTTTTCTTGTACCCCTTTGTAAAGTTTCCATCCTGTCCCACCCCTACTGAATGCTTTCTGTTACTGTTTGGTTTGCATGTTTTAGGACATTATATAAATGGAATTCTATAGTTATATTCTGTCTGACTTATCTCAGCAGAATTATTTTGAAATTCATCCATGTTGTTACATGTACCTATACTTTATTCATGTTATTGTTTTGAGTATTCCACTTTATGGATATACCACGATTTGTTTATTCATTCACTTGATGGATGTTTGTGTTTGCAGTTTTTGGATATTTCTAATAAAACTGCTAAAACATTCACATACAAATGATTGTATGGACAAATATTTTCATTTTTCATGCTTAAATACCTAGAGTGTAGTGACTGGATTGTATATTTTATTTTATTTTTATTTTGTAGTTTACATTAGGGTTTATAGTTGGTGTTGTACATTCTATGGGTTTGGATAAAAGTATAATGACACATGCCTACCATTGTAGTCTCATACAGAATAGTTTCATTGTCCTAAAAGTCCTTCATGCTCTCCTTATTCATTCCTCTTTCTCCCCAACCATGATTGGGTTATATAGTAGGTATATGTTTTAACTTATTTTAAAGACACTTAAACGTTTCCAAAGTGGTTATATAATTTTTACATTCCCACCAGTAGAATATGAAAGTTTCAGTTGCTCTACATCTTTGTCAACACTTGGTATCGTCAGTCTTGTTTTAATTTTGGACATCTCATAAGTGTGTACTGGTACCTTATTGTGGTTTTGAATTTTATTACCCTGAAGATTAATGATGTCAGTCATCTCTTCATGCACTTATTTGACATCTATATATTCTCTTTAATAAAATGCCTGTTCAAATCTTTGGCCCATTTTTTAAAATGGGTTGTTTCTTACTGAGTTTTGAGAATCTTCATATATTTTGGATGGTAAGTCCTTTATCATATAGGTTGTTTCTAAATGTTTTCTTCTGGTCTATAGTTTGTCTTTTTATTCTCTTTAACAGTATCTTTTTTATTTCAAATATATTTTTATTCAATAAATATTTATTGAGTTATAGCACATTAAACAAAAGAACATACACAGACAGTAGGGGGTGAGGGCATGTGCTGGGGGTGGGAGAGGCTGGGGAGAGATCAATGGGTGAAAAAGGAGACTTATGTAATACTTTAAACACTAAATAATTTAAATTTTAAAAAGTATATAAATAAAACTTCATCAAAATTAATCACTTCTGCTAACAGTACCTTTCTAAAAGCAATTCTTTATTATGATGAAGTTTTTATTTATACACTTTTTAAAATTTAAAATTTTTATTGTTTAAAGTATTACGTAGTCTCTTCTTTCACCCATTTATCCCTCCCCAGCCTTTTCCACTCCCCAGCACATGCCCTCCCCCCCTACTGTCTGTGTCCATTGGTTATGCTCATATGCACGCATACAAGTCCTTCAGTTGATCTCTTACCCACCCCCTCACCTGCCTTCCCTCGTAGGTTGGACAGTCTTTTCGATGCTTCTATGACTCTGACTCTATTTTTGTTCATCAGTTTATGTTGTTCATTATATTCCACAAATGAGTGAGATCATATGATATTTATCTTTCTCCAACTTGCTTATTTCACTTAGCATAATGCTCTCCAGTTCCATCCATGCTGTTGCAAATGGTAAGAGTTCCTTCTTTTTACAGCAGTGTAGTATTCCATTGTGTAGATGTACCACAGTTTTTAAATCGACTCATCTGCTGATGGGCACTTAGGCTGTTTCCAAGTCTTAGCTATTGTAAACTGCTGCTATGAACATAGGGGTGCATACGTCCTTTCTGAATGGTGTTTCTGGTTTCTTGGAATATATTCCTAGAAGTGGGATTACTGGGTCAAATGAGAGTTCCATTTTTAATTTTTTTAGGAAACTCCATACTGTTCTCCACAGTGGCTGTACCAGTCTGCATTCCCACCAGCAGTGCAAGAGGGTTCCTTTTTCTCCACATCCTCTCCAGCACTTGTCCTTTGTTGATTTGTTGATGATAGCCATTCTGACAGGTGTGTGATGGTACCTCATTGTTATTTTGAGTTGTATCTCTCAGATGATTAGTGACTTTGAGCATGTTTACATATGTCTTTTGGTTTTCGATATGTCCTCTTTTGAAAAGTGTCTATTTAGGTCCTTTGCCCATTTTTTTTTTGATTGGATTGTTTATCTTCTTGTTGTGAAAATGTATGAGTTCCCTATACATTTTGGAGATTAAATCCTTATTGGAGATCACATTGGTAAATATATTCTCCCATGCAGTGGGCTTCCTTGTTATTTTGTTGATGGTTTCTTTTGCTGTGCAGAAGCATTTTATTTTAATGTAGTCCCACTTGTTTATTTTCTACTTAGTTTCCATTGTCCTAGGAGCTATATTGGTAAAGATCCTGCTACAACATATGTCTGATATTTTGCAGCCTATGGATTCTTTTAGGATTTTTATGGTTTCCCGTCTTACGTTTAAGTCCTTTAGGCATTTTGAGTTTTTAAATAAATTATGTTTTGGTGTCCTATTTAAGGGGTATTTGTGTAATCTCAGGCCATAAATGTTTTTCTCCTATGTTTTCTAGAAATTTTTTAGTTTTAGGTTTTATATTTAAATTTATAATCCATTTTGAGTTCATTTTAGTATGTGGTAATAGATATATTTGTTGTAGTTCAAGTGTATTATTAATATAGGGTGGGGCAAAAGTAGGTTTATAGTTGTTCATATGGAAAATAACACAATAATCTAATCTAATAAAAGAGAAACATGCAAATTCACTGCACTGCTGCTATGCCCCAAGCCACGCCCACCAGCCAATCAGAGCGACTATATGCAAATTAACCCTACCAATATGGCAGCCGGAAGCCACAGAGCTGGAGCAAGCAGGTGGCTTGGTTGCCCAGGCGATGGAGGAAG